ACTAGAGTTGATAATATACAGATTGTTCCAGTGGAAAAAACAGATTTGGACTCTTTTTTCATCTCCGGAGTTTTTTTCCACCTCGTATAGTTGAAGCTCTAGGTAGGAGACAAAATATAAGGAGACACTCATTCACTGAAAAAGCAGTTATGATTCTTCACATTCTAGATGGATAAACCAGCCGGAAGGTCATCATTCAATGAGCCATCCAGAATATTATTCCATAATCATCAGTCATATAAAATCCACGAATATTATGGAATCGACAATGATTTAAGTATGATAGACTTACATCAAATGACTGATAAAATGGTGAAAGAATACCAAGACCAGACAATAATTTTTTTTACAATAAAGTTTTTTACCAGAAGTCCTGAACTGACATTTGGAAATGGCCAGCTCCCAAATCATATGAAGGAGAGCTTGTGGTCAATAACTAAACACAAATGAGGTAGAAACGAGCAAAACATGATAATTCTAACATCATAAACGAGTAGTATGGAGAAGCACCAAAATGCATTTCGTTATTTATCTCGAAAACATTATAAAAAAACTGCAGTTAAAAAAAAGTTAGATATTTGATTTTGTCATTTTGTGAAATATCAGAATGTGGTCAGTGCCGTAATCCAAACAAAAATACAATAATTTTTATCAAAGAGAATGCGAAATACCCAACTCTCTGTATATTGATTAAATTAGTACATGTTTTCCATGCACATTCACTATAGTTAATATCCATACGAATTTTAGAGCAATACCCTTCAAGGATTTTGAAATATTGAAAAAAATCGGCTCAACGGTGCATTTTCGCATAGCGGTAAGTTGATCTTAATCGGCCTATTTTGGCCTCGTGTTCACCCTGTGAGATTTATGAAAAGTTGTTCTGGGACACCTTGTATAATCGGGAAAATTTAATAGGCAATAGATTTTTTTGTTAATCGCAGGTTTGTTTGTGAAATGAAATGTTTTTTTTTCAAGCCTAACCAGATTCACCTTTCCTAATTGATATTTAAAGTAAAATAAATTTTCTCCAAATGACATTGAAAGTAGCTTTTTGATGACACTTAACAGGCAGGAAAACGGTACTTTTACTGTCTAGTCAGAAAAAATTTGTTGTAATATAATAATAATAAGTTGTAGGTAGGTATGTATATTTTTCCACCAAGCAATATTTGCTCACTTCATATAAGTAGATTAACAGTTGTCAGAGTATTTCAGGTATTCTCAAATACAATACTGTTTCTGTGGGTATAATTGTTCCTCAAACAATCTCATTATTAGTTAGGTTCATATCTGATATAATAACGACCAAACTATTTCATGATATCGAAAAAAAAGTAAGGTTGAATACGGCTTTATGATCGAACTGATGAAAATAGCTCATTTTCTTGGAGCACTGCACTAGGTGATTTCCCAGTGGAAATATGGAATGAATTGCTATCATAGTTAGAAGCTGATGACATTCTTTCCTTAGAATAGAGTTTCTGCTTCCACACCAGTTTTCAATACTATATGTTTCACTCCAATCAATATTGTAGTAACGGGAAATGACTTTACTGGGCCTAAAAACTAACCTTGTCTCCAGGAATATGTTTTCTACTCCCTAAATAAAAAGAAAGCTAGAAATGTTCAACTTTGAAACTCCTTTTACATGATTATTGATATGGAGAAATACAAAAGTTCAGTGTTCTGCCTTCTGCCACCCCAATAATGGTGTTGAATACTCCTTCTTATAACTAGGTAGAAGCCATACTCAAAGTGGAATGCAATGGGCAAAGAGAGAAACTCAAAGTCATATGAACTATTGTGCTGATGAATTTGAGTTTCTCTCTTTCACTCCTACTTATAGTATAGAGTGACAGGTCGTTCATCCGGAAGAAGTGAGTTACATGAAATATCATGCATACTCCATCACGAAGTGTGCCTATTTGAATGAGTAAAAAATATTACGTACGAGCTTTCCGTCGTGACCGCTAGATGGTGACATGTATATATATATATATCTGGAAATGTTTTTTTGTGCAGCACTAATTGAAGAGGCTGTGCCATCAAAGTTAGTCTTTGTCCTTGATTGAGAGAAGTGTTTCATCGAAAACAAATGCATTTAGTTTTGATGCATCAACTATGTTCGTTTATGCTAATGTGAAAACTGAATGAATGTTTGTATCAGAGGTCATATTGATATTGGTATCATATTTCATTTCAATCAGCTTTTTCTTCAAGGATTTGAATTCATATGATATAAGTAAGCTCGAAATATGTGTCAGCTGCTGAAATATGTGAGATATAAACGTAGATAGTTCATCGTTGCTCGACATTCAATCCAAGGTCCCTGCTGTTTCGAATATATACGTATATTAGATGTCCATCTTCTGGCTGAAAATGGACGCTAGATGTGGTGGTAACTCGAAAGAGATCAGCGATTTCAAAATAGGAACAGTGTTGGTGCCAAAATGGATGTAAGTCTGACAACATAGTTTATGTTATACAGGGTTGGGCAAAAGATAAGATAAGATATTTATTGGTCTTTATGTTACAAATTCATGTACACCGCAAAAAAAACAATACACATAATTTGTTTAGACAAGTCAACAATGGCAAAAGATTAACATAATATGAAAGGTATGCACTCATACCCAATACAGGCTCAAATTTAAGATTAAAAACTTATAACTAAGATTGAAATTTCTATAAAATCAGCACCTTTTCGTGAAAAACACATAAGTATAAAATTCAATTCAAAACAATTTCATTTGTGCCTTGTTTTATTCATACAATTGACCATCCTACATCAAAAACCTCATTTATTGAGTAAAATGCTTGGCTTAAAAGAGACTGCTTCACCACAAATTTCAATTTTTTTATTGGATAGTTTTTCCATTCTTTTGGAAGCGTATTGTAAATTTTACAGTATAGTACTTCAGTTTGTTTTTCTGTTTTTACTAATTTCATTTTCGCTGTTCTAATGACCTCTTTGCTTTTAGTATTATAATCATGTATCAGTGCCCCCGTAGTATATTTCTCTTTATTTTTGTGTACGTATAAGATAGCTTCCAGTATATATAAACATGGTACCGTGAGAATCTCTAAATCAATGAAGATAGGTTTCGCATGATCTCTAAAGTTAGCTCTAACCATCTCTCTGATTATTTTCTTCTGGGATATAAAAACATCATGTGCTGATGATGCCGAACCCCATAATAATATCCCATATTGTAAATGACTTTGTATCAAACCGAAATATGCTATTTTAAGAACATCTTTACTTACCACGCTTCTCAATCTCCTCAGAGCAAAACGACCTTTGGACAGTTTCTTATTTATATCTGTAATTTGTGTTTTCCAGCTGAGATTGCTGTCTATATGAAAACCCAGTAAACGCACATTATTCTCGTTATCATTATTCGTTCTTTTGTTGAAATCTATAATTTTAGTCTTGTCTTTATTCAGACATAATACATTGGCATTGAAGTATTGTTCATATTTTTCTTGTGTTTCATTTGATAGCTCTTCTAATGTGGTAGTAGTTTTTGTTGCTTTAATTAAAAATGTTGCGTCATCTGCGTAAAGAAAAGTATCCGCTATGTCCACATATAATGGTAGATCATTTATGTATACTATGTAAAAAGTATGGAACCAGGTGAATATCTCGGTAATCGTTTGTTAGATTTTTTTGAATTTATGTACAGGGTGATTTCAATACGTGATGGATTCGAAAATGTTATCGTCGATGTTGCCACTTTTTCAGTTATTCCGGAATTATTATCAACTTCCTTATTTTAAATAGACCACCCTGTATTTTATTGAATTCACAGATTCTCCCTGAAAAGCTGATTTCATCGATTCATCACACTTGGGGTCTAGCATGAATGATTACTGAGATATAGAGTGTTCAACATCGAGATTTTTCAACTTTAGGACTTTTTTGTGTTGAAACTATTCATTATTGGTCAAAACGGCTTACATGTCCACACGTCAACTTTTGAATCACTATCTACCGACATTTAATTGAAACAAATACAGGGTGGTTCAAGATTCAGAAATCTGATCACCCTGTATCTGTTTCCATTGAATACCAATAGATAGTAGATTAAAAGTTAAGATAGGGACATAAAAGCCACTTCGACCGATAATGAATAGTTTCGCACAAAAAAATCCTAAAGTTGAAAAATCTCGATTTTGAACACCCCAATATCTCTGGAATCTTTCTGAATAGACCCCAAGTGTGATGAATCGATAGAATGAGCTTTTCAGGAAGGATCTAAAAATTCAATAAAATACAGGGTGATTTATTTAAAATAAGGAAATTGATAATAATTCCGGAATAACTGAAAAAGTGACAACATTTTCAAATCCACCACGTTTTGAAATCAGCCTGTTCATATATTCAAAAGAATCTAACAAACGGTTACCGCGATATTCACCTGGTTCCATACTTTTGCCCAACCCTGTATGTATGTTCACAGATTCGAAAGCTTCAGTCATTCTGAATACAACCATTTACCATACAAATTTATCATCATTGTTTTGAAGAAGTTCCATAGAAATTATGTCATCAGTACAACTCATTTTGAAGATAAACGAATCAACACACGAAAGGTATCATAAGGAAAATCAGTTGAAAACATCTAATTATGACGAGTTTCTTCGAAAGAATTCGAATTGAAATTTTGCTCCATATTGTACTGAAGTATGATCACTTTATCACTCACAATTATGATACTTGCCTCAGTTATAGATAGATAGACAGATACTTATCAAATCATGAATTTGAGTTATTTGATTCGATTTGTTCAGGTATGTCACGAGATTCATACATGAAGATGGACACATTCGAAATAATCACTATTTCAGCTACAGTTATGATTTTTGGTTATATTAGAAGACTATCAGTAATATAAATAAAAACTCTTTATTATTATTATCGAAAGGTAAGTCACCCCAGCAATATTTTATAATCATAATGACCAAAATAGCAACAATGGATTCGATATACTCACCACTATAATCTATGATATCGTGCCAGTCATCTTCAAGTTTATAGAGGGCATCTATAGACTCGCATTGTCCTTGGGGATACTTGAGGATATGTGGAATACCCTGTTTCGAATATTTATCTAATTGATCTATAAGGGCTTCATATTTGGTATCCTGAAAAAAAATTATTTATATATAGAAGGTTGAAACTTGAACGAAGAAATATGGATATATTTCTTGACGAAAAGTCAATAGATCATCGATTTGAGAATTGTAGGAAATACCAACACGCATATAGGTTTGTTAAAATTTTCGAAACAAATGAATTTTGGAAAAAAAAATGCGATGAGTTGAGATGACATGTTATATGTTGTTTTTGAGCCCCCTTAGGGAAGTGCAGTTTGGTACGAATATTTCATTCTCGATTTATCATTATACGAGTCATTATGATATTTTCTTCCATACGATCATATCAGTGATATACGAAAAAATTGGTGATATTCATAAATATAGACCCATAGCGCTTATTTCAGTTTTCTCGAAACTATTCTTTTCGATCTCATTTACTCTCATGTAGTTAACTTCTTATCAGAGTTCCAACATGGATTTATGAAATCTCGAAGCACAGTCTCAAACCTATGCACGTTCACTCAGTATGTATCAAACTCACTCGATAATCGTCACCAAGTGGATGTTGTGTATACTGATTTCAGCAAAGCCTTCGACAAAGTTGCTCACAAACAACTTTTACAAAAATTTGGTTGACTTCGGTATACCCCCTAATATCCAATTACTATTGGAATTTTACCTCAGTGATAGGAATTTATTCGTCGACTATGAAGGTGTACAATCTATCAACTTCATATCTCATTCAGGAGTACCTCAAGGATCAAATCTGGGGCCTCTTCTATTCCTCTCATTTATAAAAAATGATATATGCATTTCAAGTAAATCAAGCAACTCCTTTTTGCAGATGACATGAAAATTTTCACAGAAATTACAGATATTGCAGATTGTTTGCGTCTGCAAAACGATCTGAATCTTCTTTTCAAATGGTGTTCTGAAAATAATTCACCCCTGAATATTGAGAAATGCAAAATTATGAGCTATTCTAGAAAAGTTTCTACATTTTTATCTGGATATTTCATCGAAGATGGTAAACTACGCAGAGTAAACGAATGTACAGATCTGGGAGTTATATTCGACAGCAAATTAATATACAATTTACATATTGAAAAAAATAAATCCAATGCCAATAGGGCTCTAGGTTTCCTCATACGTAATTGTAAAGAATTTACGAATCTTAGAGCTCTTTGTTCTATTTACTACTGCATTGTACGTATCAAGCTTGAATACTGCAGTGCGGTATGGAACCCAAGCCAAGTTAAACACATACAAGCATTGGAAACAGTACAAAAAAAAATTCTCAAATTTTTGTTTTTGATAAAATATAATATTCATCCTGAACGTCACTGCGATTACGATTTGCTACTAGAAGACTTTGCATTCGTTAGCTTGAAAAAACTACGTGAAATAGCAGACATGATATTTGCATATAAACTAATAAATAATCAAATACCCCGTATCTCTTCAAGATCAAACCTGACTTTTCGAATCGATGTTTCAAATTCACAACATCACCTCAATAGTCCAATTACATAATTATGTGTAGAAGCCTAAATAATGTGCCGTCTGTAGATATATTTTTTTCAAATCTAACCCAAATCAGAAAGCAATTGTGTACTCTTATTCCGAACTAGTTATATATTTTCATTTGTTCATCTACATTGGTTCATTGTAATCATTATTCTTATTATAACTATTATTATTATATACTCCTGTAATTGGGCTCCGGCCTGTTGGATGTATTATGTATAAATGAATAAATAAATAAATACAGTGATAGTATACCCTCATTATCTATTCATGATGAAGTTTGAAGAATATATCTGAAATTTTTGAATAACTGAATGGGATCAATGCCTAAATCACAAACCCTAAGTATTTTTTTCTGAAATATCAGTGTACTTATTTGTTTTACTCCAATGAATAGATATATTAATAATTGTAATGGAAATCCATGAATCGTCAGGCACATTATTGAATATCACAAATACGTTTCACCATCTATACAGGGTGTCCCTTAATTAGCCTGCCAAACTTCACCAGCGGCTTCTACGACCAAAAGTAGGAAGAAAAGTTTCAATAAACATGAGTCGAGAAATGTCTCCTAAGGGAACTACGGCCCCCTGAAAGGGGGCTCCAAAAGAATATATTTCTTGAATATTTCCGAAACGCCACGTGATAAACTGATGCAATTCGGTACAAGAACTAAACTTCCCATGCCAAATGCGGTGAACATGAAATAATTCCAATACAGGGTGAAACTACAATAAATGTAACTTTTTTGTATGCATATTTTTCGACATTTGATCTCGGATAATCGAAATCTACACCTCTTTACAAAAAAAAAGGTTTCAATAGGGCTAAATTCGTGACCATTTTACTCCCTAGACGTAAATTAGTAAAATGGCGAATGAGTAGTTCCGAAAATGGCGAATGCACATTTGAAAAATAGCGAAGGCGCGTTTTAAAAAATGGTGAATGCGCAATAAATTCTATTCAGATTAAGAAAGGACGTCGGCTGTATCTCGGAAACGATTTGTCGCACAGGTTTCGGATAAAAATATTCATGATAAAAGTGGCCAAGAAAAGTCTCTGGAAATTATTTTCAAGTATCCAGGACAGCCCCTAGAGGGCGTAATTGCATTGGCCAGTTTAATAAACGGGTTCTTGAGTTGACTTCCAATCATTTCCATCAAAAAAATTTGCGCTAACTCTTTAAATAAAAGAGGGAGGGAAGGAAGAATAGTACTTTGAAAAAACTCTAATTACTACAGTTTGGTGTAACGGAATTCAACGATCTTGGTCTCATTATGAAGGGTTTCTTCGGTTCTCTCAGATGAATCACGAATCAAGTCGATTCAAATCCTGTGGTGGCCGCTAGATGGCATCGTTTGAAAAATAAGACAATTTTCCAATTTTTTCGGAAATTTCAAATGAAACCATACATTCATTCTACTCTAATATCGAAGTGGAGCAAACGAGAAGGAAAATGGTGAAAACAGCGAATTGATACCTCTTGGGGAACCGGTGAAATACTCGAAATAATATTATGAAAATATTCACCACAGGAATCTAACTTCAATAATCGTAATAAGAAATATCCTGTATCTATGAAATTATGATTTCAATAATCCATTTATTTTGGTTTCACAAACTGCTGTTATATCTCACAATAGTGAAGGAGACTCTTAGTAAGGACATAGCTAATTAAAATGTATGTAGTGAGTATAGGCTCAGAAATGAGAAAAGGCAAGTTGGCGTTGAATGAGAGAAACGTCAAAATATAATTGAAGTTCCATTAGAAGTTTTCACTGTTCATTGTGGATTGCTTATGTGTCAAAATGCCGATAATGAATGAGGAGGCATTTGACATGCTAACAGTTCAAATTTTGATATTATTCCGAGTATTTCTCCGGTTCTTCAAGAGGTATCAACTCGAGGTTTTCAGCATTTTTCTTATCGTTTACTCAACTTTCATATCATAGCAGGAAAAATATATGGTTCCCTTTGAAATTCTAGAAAGAAAATGGCGAATCAGCTGATTTGTCAAACAATGCAATCTAGCGGCCACCACGGGATTTAAATGGATTCGATTCGTGATTTATCGGGAAGATCTGAAAAAACCCTACATAATGAGACCAAGATCGCTTAATTCCGTTACACCAAACTGTAGTTATGAAAGTTTTTCCAGAGTACTATTCATCCTTTCCTCCTTTTATTCAAAGAGCTAGCGCAATTTTTTTTAAGGAAATGATTGGAAATCAACTCGAGAACATGGAAAAGATGTTTCTGATATGTCTTGATATATTGGCCAACGCAATTATGCCCTCTAGCGACTTTCCTGGAAACTTGAAAATAATTTCCAGAGATTTTTCTTAGCCACTTTCATCATAAATATTTTTTTCGAAACCTGTGCGGCAAATAGTTCCCGAGATACAGCCGGCGTCCTTTCTTAGTGGTACACCCGGTAAAGCTGACTGATGGAGGGATTATGAATGTGATCACAAAGCCATTAAAAAAACTCCTCAATTGTATATATTTATATGATGTACTCTCTTTGGTATGTGTACAATTAATGAGAAAATAAAAAACGATAGAAAAGATCTAAGAAGAAGTTCTTGAATGAGATTGAGTAATGTCCATTTCGAAACAAATTTGCATACATTTCCACACTCGGAAATTGAAGTGATGACGTCTCCAAATTATGTTTTTCTAGTAACATACCTATATTTCGGCATACACCTAATATTTGATGAAGAAAAGAACTAATATGTCATATTTGGTCTGAAACTAGCGAAACCATGAACTGGAGAAATCAAATCGATGTACCATATTTGAAACATTCATTCAAAAAAGCAAAAGATACAGGGGGTAAATTTATTCCGGTATACCAATTATTCCTGAACAGCGATACAGGGTGTAATTTGATTGATGGCCTAGATATAGGATATGGTCCCTAAGCTCATTTTGAGGAGAAAAAATCATATAAACATATGCCCTAAACCTTTCAACATTCTAACTATATATAGGTTGTTGAAATTTTGAGAAATAAGAAGAGTTCTCTTATCATAACTTCAATACTGTTTTAGATATGTTCATGAAATCTGACATGCACCTACTAAGCACGAATAGCCATTTTTGGATGCAGGAAATTTTTCAATATCTCTATACCAGTGGCATCCGTTTGGGATGTATGATATAGTACGCTCTTGCTTTCGCCGAAAATATAAAAATTGTTATTGATTCCTCATTAATCCTGCAACTATTTGACTTTTTGATTTCTTACCGCCCGACGCACTGTTTTCACGAAAAAATAGTATATTGTGTATCTAGTGCGTGAAGTATACTGTTTTACGCGAGTGTGGAAGTTTGTGGAACGAGCGGCAGGCGAGTTTCACAATCCGCACGAGTGTAAAAAAGTCTTCACGGACGTGGTGCACACTATACTTTTTCTACGACCTTTTACTAAGAGATTGTATTGAAGGAAAATTTGACTAATTTCCTTTATTACAATAATAATTATTATGAACAGTTATATTGCAATTTTGTAAATTGTCAAAATGTACATTTACTTTGTCTTTCTCTACAAAATTAGTGCTACCTAGACCAGCGACCGGGGTGCGTGAAATAAATCCCATAAGAAAAGCATGGCACTTCACACACCGATTCGTGAAATGAAGCTTTACACATTTTTATCGATGTGTGAAGTTAGTAATTCACATACGGGAGTAGAAAAAACATTCTCATGCATTTGTGGCATAACGAAACTATCTTGAACTAATAGGCTAGTGCCCTATTTTGAATTTATAATGATGACATTGGATCGATCATGTTGCGGTCTTATTTTGACTAGTATTCATTAACGTGACAGTTTTTCACATTGTGTAAGTTTCTTATCAATCAATAATAAAGACAACATAACATTTCAAAACTCTATAGCTCGAAAGTTAAGAGATTTAGGGCATATATTTGAATGATTTTTTCTTCTTAAAATGAGCTGAGAAACCATATCCTATATTTTGAGCCAACAATTAAATTACACAGAATAATGGAGTTGAGAACATCTTGAATTGAACCTCGAGAATATTAAGTATTATAATAGATCGTTATTCCTACTAACGTGCTTCTAATAATTTATGAGGGCGAATAATCAAAATTCCTTTTCAGGTAAGTACTCCGAATGAATATAACTTAACGCTACTTGAAACCGTGAACGGGACTATAAATGTCGGCTTTCGAGGATGAAATGCGGAGAGTGCTGAATTATTCTCATTCAACGGCATTTTTCCCTAAAAATGAATGTCGATTACACTCCACCGACCGCTCTTCACATAACACAGTTACAAAAAATATGCAAATTTTTCGAATTGTTTGCAATTGTATGACGAGGTTCGAGGTTATGATTCCACAAAACATCATTGATACGTGGTATGATGAAGTTATAATCTGATGAGAGATTGTGTAGGTATGTATGTACAGGTATGTACAGGGTGATTCAAACTTCCCGCCCTTCGATCATAACAGGAAAAGTAAAACTGCAAATGCAAATTTGGCAGAAGGAATTTGAATAGCTGTGTGTGAGGTATATTTTTTCGTATTCAAACATATTTCAACTCTTTTGAAAATGGCGGAAATGACGTCAGAAAAATTATTTTTTCGACAACGTCACCATTTTTTCCTCATATTCTGAAAAACCAAATCATTTTTATTATCTTTCATCCCAAAACTTTTTTCCTATCTTCATCAGGTTGATAGCTGTGGGACTCCAAAGTAAGCATTCTCGAATAAACCTCAAATGACCCCACCGTAATAGAAATCTTGTCTGCCGGAAAACAAATTGTTTTGTGAGCAATATGATGAATTTGATACATTTTGCATTCATTTGAAACCAATTGAAGATGAAAACCGGCCAGCACGATTTTTATTACGGCGGGGTCGAGAATTATTTAAACATTATTTTCCCACAAAGTCACAATTTTTTCTCATGTTCTGAGAGTACATATTTCTTCAAACGACTTTCATACAGGAATTTTTTTTCTTCCTTCATTTGGTTGATAGCTATGGGACTCTAAAGTTAGCATTTTTCAATAAATCTCACCTGACCCCGGCGTAACAAAAATCAAGTCGGCCGGTTTTCAGCTTCAATCGGTTTCAAATGAATGCAAAATGTATTAAATTGCTTACAAAACAATTTGTTTTCCGACAGACTTGATTCTTAGTACGGCGGGGTCATTTGAGGTTTATTTGAAAATGCCAACTTAATAGTCCCACAGCTATCAACTTAATGAAGATAGGAAAAAAGTTTTGGGATGGAAGATGTTTAAAAAAATATGTTTTTTCAGAATATGAGAAAAAATGGTGACTGTGGAAAAAAATACTTTTCTGGCGTCATTTCCGCCATTTTGAAAAGAGTTGAAATATGTTCAAATACGAAAAAATAAACCTTACACACTGCTATTCGAATTCCCTCTGCCGAATTTGCATCTGCATTTCACTTTACTGTGACTTGAATTATGATTATGAAATAAGTGACTTCTTCATCCATAGAACGGCTAGGCTCTGGAATTCATTTCCGGTGGAAGTATTCCCAATAACATATAATCTCCAGAAGTTCATGAAAAATTCCAATACCTTCCTCCTGTCCCTATCCTCCCTAGGAACGCACGATGTTCTCTGAACATTATAGGGATTCCCTTTCGTGCGCTCCAAGCGATAAAAAAAAACAGTATTTTATCGCTTACCTGAAAAAACATAAAGATGAATTGAACAGTTCAATTTGGTAATTGTGTGCATTTGCTGTTTTCATAATTTTATTCATGGATTCATTTTGGCCTCAATTTGTATCTCAAAAATGACACTATTTCTGTTTCTTCTAGTATTTGCCGAAAGCGTAGTCAGTGCAACAATTTCAGGAGAATGAATGTAGCCAATGATAATCATATGGAAGAATAATAGATCAATTCCCATTCTTCTATGTATCAACGTATCCATGTTTGAAATATATAATATTTGTGGATAAGTAAATTCATCCCTATTGAATTCCATGTGATATGCACAACTCCTTGAAAATTCATTTTGACAATAATCCTCTGAAAGATCAGAATCGACTTTGTAAAATGGTGGGAGAATTATATTCAAAAATAGACCCCGCCTGGGCACAATAAATAATCTTGAAAGCATTAACAGATAGTTCCTCAGCGGAACGCAGGGAAAAGCCTAGCATTTTACGAGCACGAGATGATGTTCCTATTATGTGATGTTTGAAGGTAATTTTCGAGTCGAATATTACTCCTAAGTCTTTGATTGTATTGGTTACTGATAGACCAGTGTCTCAATTCTGTGAATATGATCAAAAGCAACATGGCTTCGTGAAAATGTTATCTTTTACCATTTATTCAAATTCAGTTTCAATGAATTGATATAACACCATCTGGAAAAGTTATTTAGATCGAGCTGCAAACTCTCAGCATCGGAAATGCATTGAACCGTTTTTAACATCTTCAGGTCATCGGCAAACATTAATGATGATAACATCAGAGAGGTCATTAACAAAAAGACCAAATAACAGAGGTCCCATGTGAGATCCCTGTGGTACACCTGATGGTGGTACTTCGATTGGTTGTGAAACTGAGCTTCCATATTTCACATTTTGGACTAGTGAGATAGTTTCTGATCCAACTTAAGATATTCGCCTCTATACCCAAAGCTTCAAGTTTTACAAGTAACAGAGACTAGGGTTTACTCTATCAAAGGCTTTAGAAAAGTCTGTGAAAATAGAGTCTACTTGCAGCTTATTCTCTAATACATTGATGATTCAGTTTTGTCGATGTTGATCGACCCCGAGAGAAACCATGTTGTTGGTTAGATATAATATTTGTAAACTCCCATGATAGTCTTTTAGTGATCAAACAATCCAACATTTCTGACTCATTACAAATACCTCTATAATTTCTAATTTCTTCCTTATTAACCAATATACATTCGACAACTGTGATATGTCAATAGTACCATTGTGTTTCAGGTCGAGAACAATAATTTTTTACCTCAATTACAATTTTTTAACGAAATGTGAATCAGCCATTCTAATCCTGGGACATCTGATTCTACACTCATTCTCATAGGTCATTTCATTTATGCTCACACTCTCCATGAAATGAAAACCAGATTTAGTTACAATTGACACCGACGTCCCCTACTATTTATAAGTGTGTATTTTACGAAGAAACTTATTATTCATCTAGGTATCCCAGATTAAAACGATGTTGGGAATTCTGGTATTATATGCTGATATGTTGCATTGCGTCCAGTAAGGGATTAATTTATCAAGTCTTACTTTAGTATTGCCAAAGAAAGCGGTGAGCCTTTGCTTGATTTGCTTCCTGCTTTGATCGCCGTCGTGGAGGGAAAGAGTCGAATTGGCAACGTTGGATTCTTCGGTACTCGAACTGAAGAAACTTGTCGTCCGACTTCGGGAACTCTGGAAATCAACATGAACAGTATTTAGACCAGTCATCATACGAGTCGATGAAATATTGGTGAAAAGAATTTGGAGCAAATATTCAAATGTGGTTTCCATAGTATATTTGAATGTTTGGCGGACAATCAAGCGCATCCGCCAATTTTGATTCGTCTTTCAAACGTCCATTGGAATGAACCATCCTGAATAATGTTGAATATGTTTTACATATTACCGTGTGACGACTTCATCAACTTCAAACCATGTACACAATCCTCAGATATATAATTTGATTCAATGTATTCCTAGTTTTATATATCTATTTATATGTATATTTTTATTTCAGTTTAGTATTGTAAATGTCTGTACTCATATGTTATACATACTTTGTTTTGTAATATTCATGAATGTCTATATTTACCACTATACATGTAATCATTTTGTAAACTGACTTTTCCTATATCATTTTTTAATGGTTTCTTGGATGAATAAACTATTCTATTTTATTATATTCTATATAAACGCAGCACATTATTGTTCTTAGAGCCTGATTTCACCTAGCCATGACCTTCTTCAAGTCGTACCACTAGGGTATTCGCATAGATTGTTTTTTATCTATGGTGCTCGTGGCTTTGAAAAATTTGTGATTTGGACTGAATTACTGCTTGTCGAAGAAGCCCCGACCTGATGTGAATTCTTGCTTCTTCTTGAAGTGACAACTTTTATATGCCCGTTGGGCACATTCTGGGGCAAGAATAAGATCACAAACTCGCGTCACGGGTGCCGCGTACCATAAGACCGGCGGGGCATGATCATAAGAGTATACCATAGAGGTTATTAGTTCCGACGTGTGGACCTACGCAGAGCAGTCTTTTTTAGTCACTGTTGTTAGATTGAATAATTTTTATGGAAGTGATGTCCGAGTTGCCCCACTAGCATGGTTGGGGATCATTTGTCATCACACATGAAATGGGGCGCATCTTTTTATCGCTTGGAGCGTACGAAACGTAGAAAAGTCGCCGGCTTTTCTACGGTTTTCTAATTATGTCAAAGTATAAGTGAGTGTTGCGTTACTAACCAGGCGGATGAATCTTCTCTAGATGGAGAATAGAATATGCCTCATCTGTGCTTTGAGAATCATAATAGAAGCGGTTGAAGTGTGAAGTAGTATTTCGCTGATTATCCCATGAAATAGTATTGCTGATGGAAATAGCGTGCATATATATATTGGACTGGGCGGGAATTGTGGTACCAGACAATGTTTTATCAAGCATACTGAGTTTCTATAAAAAATACAGGCTTGAGTTTTGGTGGCATTGAATTCAATTAGAATGATATTGGTTTTCAAAGCTGAAATCTCTGCAAGATATTCATTGACGTCGTTGACCAGCCTTTGCCGTGAGTTCTTAGTTTCCTGGGAAGAGATAGAAATTCTGCAATAGAACTCATTATGGAGAGGATTATCATCTGCAGAGCTGCGAAGCCCGATGAAAGATGGCATAGCTGAGGTGGTAAGCCGTATGATGGTAGTTTTTAAAGCAGTCCTTCGTGTCAAACATGGTCGAATGCTTTCGATATGTTTGACGCCACAGCAGGAGATTCCCTATGTTTTCCTAGCTCATCATCAGTTGAGAAAGCCATATCAACTTTCCAGAAATTTGCTAAGCTCAATGTTGATGGAGTTCTCTTTCACTTTGGAAATAACTGATCACAGAGCAATAGGCCTGTAGTTGTTGGGCAGGTTTTTGTTTCCTTTTAGCTATTTTTCAGCAAGATGGAAAAATATCCGACTAAATGACTTGCAGGGAATCAGTGCACATTTTTTGAGGATAATTAGTGAAATTTCAACAGTCCCGTTAGACTTATTAGTTTTGAGACCAAACAAAGTGCGACGGAAGACGATTTCAGGCATTTGACTTTGGAGAGTAGTGGAAATTAACTATTGGTGCAATTTTTCCCGACTACTTCAGCGAGGGACCAAGAGGAACGGGGGCCATTGGGAAAAAACCAATGAGTTACGATCTTATTTTGGCATTTTGAGTTCCTTTTCATGCATCTATTGTTTGGCTGCAGTTATTCCTGGCTTCAACGTATTCTGCTCTAGTCGCGAGGTTAGGGTTTTTGCGATAGCGACGGTAGACTGTTTGTTTCGAGGCAACAGCTCTATATAGAACAGTTTTTGTTGAATCAGGGTTTCGTAAGTGACGGTTTCTTCAAAGAATGAGGAATACGTATGTGTCTATTTCAAGCGTGATGATCCCGGATATTTCCGCAGGACCCTGTGAAGGATCCTCAGAGTCGAAGCATATTCTGTGTCAAAAGATTATCGAAGAAAAACATGCGGAGACTGTCTCAGTCTCCTGTATTATAATGCCATACAAGACATGAGGATACCAAAGTAATTGATGGAATGAAAAAGGGGCAGGTTGTGGAGATGGGTTGCCTAGTGAAGCTCGTACATCTATGGAGTAAAGTGCTGAAAATTGGTGAGGAATAAGTCAACTATGTTGACTGAATGGTTATCGACATCGGGAATTTGCGTGGGTATCTTGAACAGCTGCTCTAAGTTGTGCGTGATGGCGCAAGCTTCGGCAGGTCGTCTAGCTTCATCGGTTTTGTTGGAGTGTACGAGCCGAGCAGTTTTGTGTACCTACATTGAGATCGCCCATGGTGATGATTTCTGCTGCTGGATGGTTCTGCTGAATTAGGTCAAGCTTCAGGGACAAGAACTCGAAGAGATCTTTTTAGGATGGATCAATTGTTGATAAGTAGAGGCAACAAAGATATTTTTTGTTTTTTATTTGGATTGACTCGGCCGTTACTTGATGGAAATCCATGACAAATGTAAAAACTTCACACACAGTAGCTTCGTTAGGTGATATACTGGTACAATGAACTAAATTACCTCCCGAAAATACTATAATTTCAGCTGAGGAATTATTAGATCAAAACCATGGTGATCCGATTACCAAATTAGAGATTTTAGACCTTCTTTCTATATGTCTCAAACAAAATTGTTTTCAATTTGACAACAAAATGGATTCCGCGTCAAAAGGGTTGGTTATGGGAAATCCACTGAGCCATTTACTTGCTGAAATGTTCATGGATAACTTGGAGCGAATAATATATGAACACTCATTGATGAAACAATGTTTGTATTGGTATAGATACGTAGATGACGTGTTAGTATGCTTAAAAGGAATTAATAGACAATTAGACACTTTTCACCAGAATATCAATACTATTCATTAAAACACAAAAATTACAATGGAAAAAGTCAAGTCAATTTCTCAGATTTGACAATACGTAAAATTAATGATAAACATGATCATTCAATTTTCCATAAACCTTCCCACACTGATATCACTATTCACAATAATTCAACACATATTTATCAACACAAAATTGCAGCAAATAGTATGATACACAGGCTAGTGAATTTCCCTCTTTCGGAAGTAAATTTCAATAGAGAACTCAATATCATAAAACAGATTGCAGACAACAAAGGATAAAACGTTAGTTTGATAGACAGAATGTTTTTTAGAAAACTTTATGATAAAGCTATTCAAGAAGTTTATCCTACCATCAAGAAAAATAATCAAAATTATAGACCTTTAACTTATTTCGGATCATCAACTGAAAAATTAGAGTCATTTCTACATAATTGAGACTTAAAAGTAGCATACAGAACGAATAACACGTTATGAAGTTTTATCAGAGATAATAAAGACAAAACTTCGAAATCAGGTGTATACAAACTCAACTGTGGATCTTGTCCTAAGGTATATATCGGTCAGACAGGCCGTACGTTCAATCAGCGCATTCATGACCATAAGATAAATATTTTGAAAAAGAAAACAAATTCAACAGACGCCAACCATATATTAGAAGAAACCCATAGTCTGATGATAGTTTCGAAATTCTACACGTAGAAAATGAAGGAATGAAACACAATCATTTTGAATCATTAGAAATCAACATACTAAAAAATTCTGACATTTTACTCAACGATCAATCAGAACTCAATAGTTCACCACTGTAGAATTTGTTGTCTTAGTAGGTGATAATATGTACATACTTTTAAGTTAATCCGGTACACCGTATTTTAATGTAGACATTGTGCCTTATTTCCGAAAATGAAGGTTTACCTTTCCACAGGTAACCAATCCTTCAGGTTGGGAAAGTAGAATAAAGAAAAGTTAAGGAAGCCAAGGTTAGTCTAGTTCATTGTACCAGTATATCACCTGACGAAGATATTGTGTTAGCGAAACATGTCTTTTGTTAGAGAATTTTGTGGAAATCTTATCGTTTGTGAAGTTTTTACATATTTGTTGTTCTTGGTCATCGAGTTTGAACCACATAAAATCAAACTTATTTGTTTCCAAGGTTTTTTGATGAATTGATCTGTGTCTCGGTTGTCTCGGCATCTCAAAAACGATTATTATAACTTTCGTGAGTAAATGTTGTTTCTGCTAATGAATAAACAGGTTATTGACAGCTGATATGACTTTCAACCTCCAGATAGTGCATATAAACAATTGTCCCTCCTTGCCTCGTTTTCGAGATACATGGTATCAATTTCCCCATAAAATTTTTTTTTATCAATTACTCAAAAGTATTTTTCTCAATTTCGATGAAATGAAATTATCAATTTCAGTAGCGCCACAGTGGGTGACCCTATGAATATTTATGGTGGATATCATTGTATGCTGAGTTTCATATTGTTATTAGATTGAACAATTGAAGAAACGATTTTCTCGAGGATTTTCTCATCCCATGTGTTACTATTGATGTATCTCGCATATAGTGTTCGAAAAAACAATGAAAATTCGATTCGAAGTTTCAATGTAGGTGCTCACAAAACAACTATCGAGATGATAACCCAATAACCAATAATAAGTTTTGCCATCATGGACACTTTTAAAGGGGGGACATGAAAAACAATCATCACTTACAACTTCAACATTCTATGTCTCAGAATAAAGCAAGTCGGAAGACATATTTATATGAAGTTCATTCACTAATAAACGGCAATAAAAAATTATCTCCTGAATTTTCTCGCATGCCCAATGGAAAGTTGGTATCTATGGTATAGTGATTGAAAAAAAAAAAAGAGTTCTGTCAGCAGAAGTAGCCGTTTTCGAGGAATATGGCGTCACTTCTAATCATTATTTGTCACAAGGTAGAAAAAACAGGTTTCCATCAATTTCTGTTTGAATCTTCTTTCGATTTTTTTTTTCGATTTCGCAGGATTGCTTTCAATAACGAGGTACTCCTGATGTATTTAATTGAAATTTTTGCAATTAGTCCTTTGGTATCCTAAGAGGCAAGTTGGAATGGAAACTTGTGTGACCGGACTCTTCTCGGTGTAGAAATGAGATCAATCATTGATCGAAAAACTATTATGATGTAACATAATTGAATTTTCAAAATGAATTATAGCCACAAACACATTGTTGAAACATTGCCACTACTTTGATGATAAAGCATTCTGTTCTATCATATGATATTTATCATCTAAGAGTTTCAGTTCCTGAGAAGGAAGTTTCCCGCAGAGTCACCAAACTCCATTTCTCCAGAATGCCGAGTTAATTTAATATCGTGTATCATGATGCATTACGTGTCGCTGTGTGATCCACTTAGTTTTCTCTGGTTTGAGTTTCCGAGTATGAGTCACAAACAGTACAAAAGTTATAAAATTGCAGTCAATAGGGAGACTGACTTGGTTATAGCTTGCAGCAAAACGGAAACAGAAACTACAGTCATAGTTATGAAAAACAAGCTGCACGTTGCTACGCTACTTACAAATATAAATTTTAAGAAAAGACAGTACACAAATATTGAATTCATTTCGGGTCATTTCATTGATTATAGCTGACCCAGCAAATCTTGTTTTGCTATGTACATTATTTGAAGACAATATTATTTCAGTGTTGAAAAGGAATATTCTCAGATAAATTATGAACATACAAAAATGGATATATATTTATATAAAGCAATACATTGAGAATTCGCATTCTCTATGTGATGAGAATATTTACTCTTTCTCAGTTGATTCAATAGAAAATAACTACTTTCCTGGCTATATGCCACGACGAACATTGAATTATATCTATTGAACTCACACGATTAAGAGTTTGAAAATAAAATATAAAAACTTCTGAAATTGAGAATTTGCATTCTCCTTCAGACAAAAATATGTATATTCACACATCATTCCGAATATTCATCAGGAAACAACTACTTTCCTGGCTATTTGCCCCGTCGAACATTCAAAAGGAGAACATGAAAAATAAAGAATAAAATCCTCCGAAATTCAGAATTGACATTCTTCTTCAGATATAATTCAATGTTCGACGAGGCAAATAGCCAGGAAAGTAGTTGTTTTCTGATGAATATTCGGAATGATGTGTGAATATACATATTTTTGTCTGAAGGAGAATGCAAATTCTCAATTCCAGAAGTTTTTATATTTTATTTTCAAACTCTTATCGTGTGAGTTCAATAGATCTAATTCAATGTTCGTCGTGGCATATAGCCAGGAAAGTAGTTGTTTTCTATTGAATCAACTGAGAAAGAGTAAATATTCTCATCACATAGAGAATGCGAATTCTCAATGTATTGCTTTATATAAAAAGGGGAAGCTTTCGTGACTGTTCTATAATAATATTCTTGGAAATATTAGTGGTATGCAGTCTGGACCAATGAATCAATTGAATTTCTTCGTTATTTGTCGTCGAGCTTTCGAAAAAATTTTTTTATTTTCTTTATCAAGACCAACTGAAAACATCGAATGGAACAATAATATTAAAATATAAATATATATCCATTTTTGAATGTTCATAATTTATCTGAGAATAATCCTTTTCAACACTTTCATACCCAATCAGGGGGTTCAAACTTGAACGATGGAAACTTGTGATTTTTATAGGATCGAGCTTCAAGAGACCACTCACAAATTTATGAATTCTAACATAATATGGCAATCAGTTTTGTTTTTGAAAGCTGGCGCTTTCAATGAATATGGCTTGTTTTGTTGAGTTTCAAGAAATCAGTATAGCAGTAAGGAATAATTTGATAGAAATCAGACTGTAAGTCGAGATTGGAACCAGGTGAGCGTAAGTTGATCTTGTTATATTATGCGTTCAACAAATTAACGGTGTCATGCTTAAACTTCGTTTTCGTGCAATGGTCATCAAATTTTCGTTTTACAAACCACTATATTATTTACTCACCCCAGATGGCTTTCTTGTATGATTGCTGTATAAAGTACCAGTCGTTTTTTTATTGCTTGAGTCTTGCGCTGAAAAAAAGAGCGTCATTTAGAGAATGTTGCATGAAAGCTGCATGATATACGTATATCACACAATCTATGGAGAATATAGCACAATTCAACCGATTTCATTCAATGCGGTTTGTTTCAATGCCTTTGCTTTTATAATGAACTGTTGAAGTAATGAATATTCTATATCAGGTTGTTTTCAAAAGGATATAGGCTTCGAATGAATTGGTATAGAAGGAAAGAAAGAAAGATGATGATGATGATAGTGAGTGTTTTCAGTGAATAAAATAGGGTACCTACATTTCATGAAACCTAATGACAGTTATATAAGAAATAAAAGCTAAACATTGTAATGTAGATATTATCTACAACTGTCAAGTAATGATTATGATTTATCACTTTTTTGAATGTCATACTGACGTTAATCACCGCGCTAGTGCTGTTTTGAATCTATTGCCGCACTAGTGCGGTATAAATAATAATAAATGTTTTTATTGGACAGACATTATATCGGTTGATATATACAGTTTGAACACCTAATAAATGCCTGCCAAATGGCAGAGTTCAAATTGCGTGTGAAGACAGGAATTTGCTATTCCACTCAACCAGTAAAAACTCATTCATATGCGTTCAAGTCAATAAATATATATTTAAAAATAACTAACTACTAGAATCTGATAATGATTTAATGATACATGCATAATAATCTAAAACATCATCAAGTTCATAACAGAAAGAAGAATGATGAAAAAACAGAAAAAAAAGAGAGAAGATATATATATACATATTTATGAACTATACTCCTATAATAGAGATATTGTAATAGATCATCAGTTGTGAACAGATATTGACAGAGAACTATATCAAGGAAACGAAATGAGATTAGAAATAAATTTCAACCAGAATAAATTTTTTATTGAATGAATACGAAGAAAATTCAATGACACTTGTCGCCGCATTTCCAATATCGGATGGTAGATCTCCACTTGAAGACATTTTCACTCAAGAAACTCAATGATGGTTCTGGAAATCGATCTGACGTTCAACATCATTAAACGGCTTTATTCATACCTACCATTGCTACGGTTACGAAAAGGATCACAGGCAAATTGACTTTTTAATTATCAGAAAATATAATGTCTATATCCCACTTGTCACGTGAATAACTATTGTTCATACGTTCAGAAATGAAGGATTAGCTAGCCTGAAGCCCGCAGGTAATTTTAATCATTTAGATTCCTATGAATATGTTGATGAGGATAGTAAATGTTAGGCTCATTGTAAAAACTTCACAAACGATAAGATTTTCACAAAATTCTCAAACACACGACATGTTTCTCTAACACAGTATAGCTTCGTCAGGTGATATACTGGTACAATGTTCATTGTCATGGAATTTCATCAAGTAACGGCCGAGTCAATTCAAAATTAGACTCATATTCTTTGTACGAGAATATATATTTCATACTTGAAGGAGCTACTTTGCTCAGCGAAACATGTGTTCTTAGGAATTTTGTGGAAAACGTTCTTTCATTCAGTATATGAATGTTCGATGACCGCGAGGCATAAAAGCACAGCGTACATGGATTTGGCAAAGGACCTGTATCTACGCTTGCTTATTGGATGATGCCAAATAACAGTACGTTCTGCCATTGTGGAGTCAAAGTCATGTACGTTTTGCCAATGAATATGCATAAAGTACACATTAGAGTCGCGGTAAATTGAAAATCATGAGAATGTATTTCAAAGATTTATTTTAATAATACTGAAACAAAACTGAACAAACTCAGCACATTGACACATATCAAAAATAAGTAAACACCCTTTATCTCAGACAGGAGACAAATTTCATTCAGGTGATTTGGGTTGAATCTTAATATTTTGCGGTCAGGATTATATAGTTGAAATATTCCCAATTATTAATGAAACACCCTGTACATACATATTCTCAAGAGTTTTCGTAGGAAGCAATCGAATGTGACCAATCAGTAAGGTTTCCTTGTTTTTTGTAAAGCTTTTTCAACACTAACGGTGAACATCGAATGAACACCAATAAAGTTGAAATATATGAATGTATCTACATCAATAAAATTTGTATACTCACTACCTAACATGAAATACCTACCCACACATTTCTGAAAGCTCGACAAAAATGGACAAAATTGGAAGAAATTTTACTGATTGGTTCGACTGCTTCCCACGAATATTCCCAAGAATATATACTATCGAAAAATAAATAATTCGATTGCTTCTACCCACCCCTACCTCCTCCAATCCCCTTACAAAATCTCCATCGTCTGTTACATCAAAGTACTGGTACTGGTACTGATGGGGGACGTTTGCACGTCAGCAACTAGTCCCTAATGGGATCTTTTTGCGAGCCCCAAGGTGTTTTCAATGACTGATGTGGTTCGCTAAAGAGAGCTGGCTAACATCCTTTTCAGGCACCGCCCATCAGCTCTCTTTCAGAGTTTTTCGATTGTGTTTTGTAGGCTAGTGATGTACTCACTACCATATGCTGCAGTGGCAGGCCTGCTAGCTCTCGTTAACCCCCGTTAGACACCGAGTTCCACTAAGCAGCTGGCCCGCTCTCGCTCTCAGTTGGTAGTTTTTCCACACTCACCTACATTCACCATCCTACTTCTTCTCTAATGCTCACAGCCACATCATCATCACTTTCTACGTGTTCTGTGTAGGCTTTGTTACTTACTCCATGCGTCACTTTAGGAGCAGCACTGTTAATTGGAACGTAACAGCGAATCGTGCAGGACTATTCCCAGCCGCTCCAAAACTTCACAATATTCAATTTGTGAATGAAATATTGATAACAGTTCCTTGCTCGTGCTAGGAATCGAACCCACGACCTTGCGGTCGTGAGACGGACGCTCTTCCACGGCGCCAATCCCGGCTCTATATATATATCAAACTTTATTAGCACAGTGCTCTTCACTACAGTTAAATCTACAATAAAATACAATAAGTCAATAAATAAAAACATAGAAATATGGAACTAAGACACAGACACATGAATTACGTCACATATTTTAATATAAGGGTAATTAACAGATATCTCCTTTCTCAATTGATCAATCAATAATTTTCTTTCACAAATAACACACACGATTCTTTAAAACTATCTAGTGACACACATCTTTTCATTTCACAGGGCAAATTATTGAACAATACCAGACCTTTTGTATATAAAGTATCACAGACAATATTTACTGAATTTATATAGAAATCATTCGCTGCTTGTCTTCTGGTATTGTGACAATGTACATCTTGAACATAATTTAGCTCACTTGATAAATACAAAGGCAACATGTTATTTTTCAATTTATAAACAAAAATAAGTGTATTATAATTATGAAACTCTTTGCTTGATATTCATTAATTGCAATGTGTTCAGCATTGTTGTGACTGGTGTGCGTCTTTTACAACCCAAGATAGCTCTCATTGCACGATTTTGGACTTTTTGCAGTGTATTAATCTGTTCGTTACTCAAGAAACTCAGTAAAGTACCACAATAATCAATATGAGGTGAAATTATTGACTTGTAAATTGTTAATTTCGTGAAATGAGATACTTTATCACCAAGCCTGTACATGAAACCTATTTTTCGCGCAATTTTCTTTTTAATATCAAGAGTAACCTGAATATCACTCTAATTCCAGAATAGCTATATTACCTACATTATGTTCATAATAAATACTAAAACATTATACAATCACATAGCCACTTACGAACACAAAATAGTATATTAGCGTAGCGTAGTTGCTCTACAACACGCATTACGTACTATACTTTACCTACTGCCATATAGTACAGTGTGTACAACAAAGAACGGCTGTCATATTTATCACTCTCCCAACTTTGACAGTTAATATCTTCCGTTGGCAAAAATCTATCATGCTGCGGTTTTCTACATCAAAAAAGTTTGGACAAACAGTCTGAATTACGATTCTTGACAGTTATGTCATCTGCTGTTGGCGACGATTACGCGATCATGACTGGCGGAATAAATGAAAACTGTGCGATTTACTTACTGTGCGTAAAGAGCTAGTTACTGAGGCTGTATCTCGTGAGTTCTTGCCTACTTTCGATAGTGGCCGTAGGTAAAAAGTTTTTTCTCCGATTGGCAGCAAATATTAATTTTGCTGACACATATCAATCAGCAAAGTATTACTTTTCCTGCCTAGGCAGCAAAGTGGGTACTTTGCAGCCTAGGCAGCAAAGTGGTTACTTTGCTGATTGATATGTATCAGCAAAATCAATAATCCATAAATCGTTTATAATTTCCTTCATATTTCATTCGAGACTTCTCGGGCAACAAATTCAACTCTATATTTTTTGCCACCTCCCTTATTTCTGGAGGTGTAAGTACTTCTAGGTCGCTATCACTGTCCATTATATAATAATTTAAATATACCGATATTTTTTCGCACAACTGTCAGAATTTTCATGAATTGTCAAACTATAATTATCATGGACAACTGCGATTTCTATCAAATTTCATTTTAATTGAACACTACAGGAAAAATGAAGAGATTGTGGGAATTGTAATAATTTGCAATCACAATATCCTCCTATATCATTATTAACAATCGGAGAAAAAATTATATGTTCAACTCGGCAGCAAAGTAGATTGACTGCCTTAGCTGGATTCCTAGCCTCGCTACGCTCGGCTATGAATTCAGCCTCGGCAGTCAATCTACTACTTTGCTGCCTAGTTAAACAAATAACTATTAAATTGGGAGCACTCTCACGTACGATTCATTTCGTATGATTTTCTCGAATCCACACATCACATTCTTCTAGCTAGATTGTGTAAATCCGCGTAAATTGTTATACTAACTTTGTGAGTTACTTCTTCTGTCTTTCATTGTATTTGAAAGATTGGGGCATTTCCATATCGAAATAAGGTGTTGAAATCAAGATCAACTATTCAACTCAATAATGTGCTTGCATAAAATGACATAATGACTGACCAGAAACGAAAACAACAGCAGGAGTCCTAACCT